TTATATTAAAAATTGATATAAAAAATTATTTTTACATCATTGCTTTAAAGTAATTAAGTTTACAAATTTCTTTCAAAAAATTAAATATGTATAATCATTTTATTTATATTTAAAATAAGATACTCAATTGAATATTCCATAACGGGGCATCAATCACTTGTAGATAAGGAAGAACAATAGGGAATTGAAAATGGAGAAAATTGGGAGGCATTTGAGCGGTTGCCCGACATATGCAGAGAGAATTGAGAAGAATTTATGGGCTTGCTTGGTTAGATGAGCTTTTATTGGAAAGAAATTAGGGACAGATAAGTAGACTAGTGGATTTGTCAAGTAAATGTGGGAAAGTGACAAGCAATAAATATGATGTATGTATATGCCAATATGTAATATACGAGTGGAAGAATTTAAAAGTAGGAATTAATTATTAGACAATTTAAATCCATAAATGAGATAAATAGTAATAGAAATTTTAAACTAAGAAAGTAGTATGGAAAGATTTACATTTAATGGATTGATAAAAATATCTTTTTAAATTCTCTGTAATTATGATTTTTCAATTACATTTTTATGAAAAAAAAAAAAATCCTTGCAACTGAGGTCTAGCACTGAATGGTAAACTCATCACAATCAATTCAATTGCTTCCTCACTTCTACTTTGCAAATTAGTTTTACTTTTTAGTTTTACATGTTACGTTATAAAATTAATAAACCATATTTACTTGAAGGGTCAACTTGTAAAGTTTAATTTTGTTGTTTAATCTTCCTTTTTTAGATTATAGATGAATAGATTTTAAACTTTTTATTTGTCTATTCTCTTTACCATCACTATTTCAATTCTCATAACAATAAATATAAAAATTGACCTACAATAAATATGATGCATGTGCTGATTTTTAATATGAATTGAAGAAATTTTTAAAGTAGGCTACAATAAATAGGTTAAATGCTTAATTTGGTCCCTTAACTTTAAGAAATGAACATTTTTGGTCCCTCAACAATTTTTTGCACTTTTTTGATCCCTCAACTATACAAAATGCACTTCGTTAGTCCTTCTGTTAATTTGAGCCATTAACCTTGCTTAGGTGGCATTTTTTATATTTTTTTTTTGATGATGTGGAGAGCAAAACTTAAAAAAGTGATGACATGTGTCCATATCACATGCTACCTGGCAAAATCGCGCCAAATACATCCAAATGGGTCTCACATCACCATCTTTGCCCATCAATTACTGTTTTTCTTCTATCCATGTTCGACAAAACCCAGCAGATCTGGGTTCGATGTAATCCAGCAAATAGGTTCCATCGAACCCAGCTCGATTCACTGAACTCAATTGCACAAAAATTCCTCACAACAACCTACAATTGCCCAAAAATCCCTCAAAAACAACAACCTGCGATTGCCCAAAAATCCACAACAACCTGCAATTTGAATAATCTCTTGGCAAACAATCATATAACAAAAACAAAAAACCAGTTGCCCAAAAATAACTAACAACAA